ACACGACACATCACGGCAATTCCATAATCTCGGTGAGAAATTGTCTGGGGAAAAAGCACCTGAATTTGTGTAACAATCCCTGCGCCTGACTCATTTGCAGGAGAGCAGTACCTGACGTTGAACCGATCAAAGAGAAACTCCCTTCAAGCTAATTCATGTCGTCCAATTTGGACCAAATGGTTTTTAGTAAAATCACAATAACAAAGATTACAATTGTAAGGTTTAATTTCATTGGTGTACTTAATCTGGCAAACAGATTAAAAAGCGACTGCAAACGTTGAACTCAAAACATGTCACATAATATTCAAGTAGGCACGCTTGCCAAGGGGCAATACATATACAAGAAGGTTTACACACTCTTCGAGCAAAATAACAGCTTCAATAGGGCACAGATTTAACTTTGCCACCACCAATTTGCCTGAGGCATCGAGAGGTGCTGCCAACGAAACAGTCGTGAGTTTTACCGAGAGCCACTTTACAGAGAAGAAGGCAGCCCCGGGAGAAACTGGGTGAGGTACAGCAGTAATCAGCCGATCTGCACGCCATGTAAGAGAAGTAGGAGACCTTGCCAAACATATACCCTGTTGAAGGCGCATCAGGAGGTGCTATTTGTCAACCTTGTGCTCTACCAAGCATGAAGGACGAGGGGCGCACAGATAAGCAATCATAGCTACTTAAATAGACTTAATTGGAATAAGAGAACCCACAGGTGCCTGCCCGGTTTGCGCGACGAGAACGGAGCCAGAGTATCATGCAGTTGTCCAGCGCCTTTATACGCTCCGACTCTCCCTCCCTCAAAAAAGGTGTCCATCACCTCCACAGTATAAACAAATGAGTTGAAGCGTGAGTGATCTACGGGTGGTGCGCAACCTGTTCAATCCTCCCCAAGTCCCGATCAAATACTGACGGAATTATTCAGAAAACAGTAGCTGTTGAGGTATTGACGGTTCAATTGATTGAAAAGTTCGACATACGGACCTCAACCAGATTCTTGAGTTTTTCATACTGCTCATCATAAGGAAATAGGCTACATCCATCTCCAGTCATTCATCTAACACTCGACACTTGGTTTTGATCACCTTCAAGCTGTCCAGCAATGGTAGCACCTTCAGACCAAAGTTGTGCGGAATGCGCACATCAAAGTGCAATGTGCTGCCAATCAAGCTGCTCATGTCTAGCCCTTCGATCAGCATTTTTGATGCTAGTAAGTTAGAAGTCGCTTAAGCAGCATAGGTTTTCTCAAACATCTGCACTCGTGACATCTTCCACAGTGGCATTTTCTCACCATCAATCCACAAAAGGACACAAACTGGGATGCTTGCTCAAAAACACTTTGTGAGAGCTCGACATTAAGAGTCAAGGCCGACCTCAAACTCCAACAGGGCACCAGTCATTAGGTCAATGTCGAAAAGGGAATGAATGAGTATCCAACGTAGATTTCCCAGCTCAAATGACACCTGCTGCATGAGTTTTGTCTTTTCACCGGTCTCATCGTTCCGTACAACGAGATAGGATGGTCATAGAAATCCCTACAAATAACTCTAAACATGTATAGGGATTCTGATTTACTCAGACTGATGTGGAG